CGCAAGAGCAGTTCTGGGCTCTTGTGGTGTCTCTGGCAGCCCAGAGAGCCCTCTCTGGGGCTTCCAAGTCAGCACAAGCATGTGCTGGGTCCCCTGAGGAAAATTATACAATTGTTCATGGGCTCAAGCATGCTTAGCGCTTCATCTCTGTGGCTACACTGCTAGCACAACCAGTTCCATGTTTCTGGAAAAGGACTTAGAATATTTCAGGATTCTGAAATAATCACTTCGAAATTCAGTGTCTTAAACAACTTCTTTTTAGTTCTCATGAGTATACAGGTGGTCTGGGTGTTTCTATTAATCTTGTTGGGTTCAGATGATCTCGCCCAGGCTCACTCATACAATTGCTCACCTGGTAGTTAGGATGAGGGCTGGCTGTTCTAATACAATGTCCTTGACAGATTTAGTCAGTTTTAGGGAAGTCACAGAAAAGGTCAGGAAATGAAAAAAAGAGAGAAAACACTTTCAGAGTCATACGATATCAAGGATTTGACTTAGGAAATCTCCTCTTAGTCTTGACTGACTTTCCTATCATTTATATCTTCATAATTTCATTGTTATTTAAATATTCTTTTATCACAAGAGACCTCTAACACCTATCTTACATGGACCTCTAAACCATTAGCTACTGGATTTCATTTTCTAAAAACGGACAAATGAGAAGAATCAAAAATCATTCTTTTCAGAACCAGTGAGACATTAAATCTTTCTCTCTTTCACAAACACACACACACACAGAAACCATTTTCATTTTTTGACCTCTTCATGCTACTAGCAATTTTATAATCTACTAGATTAGTTTTTTCCTATTAAATGATAACCAGTTTCTAGCTGACAGTCTCAGACTGATGAATTTTCTAAATTACTGAACATCCCAGGAATACCACGGCACCTTCTTATGTGGGGGGACTGTCCCTCCCCTGAACCTAACCACCCTGTTGTAGAGGGAGTTACCTAATCCTTGTACCCAAGAACTCTATTTTTGGACACTTCAGCAAAATAAGACTAATTAATTTATTCCTCTATGACTTTTTAACCTGAGGACTGAAGTATGATATGTAACGTGCCTTGCGTAGCACAATGGAAATACACTAGCTCGAGAGCTGGCACTGCCATGGTGAATTAGCTAGTCAGCTGTAAAAAGCCTGAATAATGAGAGAACATACTAAGGTGAAGACAGAGAATGATCAACACCTGATGTCTTTCAAATCCCTGTTCTCAGTCATTTCTGAGAATAGCTAATGCTTTGTGATTCCTAAAGTCTGAGTAGATAACCAATACCACTCTTGGAGTAAATGTGTTCCAGTTGGATTTCTGCCATGTGCAGTCAGAATGAACCCCGGCTGAATATTCTGAGGAATGCCCTTTTTTTCTAGGACTAATTTTTCTCTCACCCATCTACTACATTCAGTAGCTGTATAGCTTGAGACTGGAATAATGCTCATCATAGAGAGAGAATGAGGCTTCAAAAGCAGAAGAGCCTGTCACCCTTCATATTCTATATTTTAACAGCTTCTTTTAGATTATGGAAAAACTGAGAAGGAGCTTCAAGATGGCGGAAAAGTAAGACGTGGAGATCACCTTCCTCTCCACAAACACATCAAATACATCTACACGTGGAACAACTCCTACAGAACACCTACTGAACGCTGGCAGAAGACCTCAGACCTCCCAAAAGGCAAGAAACCCCCCACGTACCTGGGTAGGGCAAAAGAAAAAAGAAAAAACAGAGACAAAAGAATAGGGACGGGACCTGCACCGGTGGGAGGGAGCTGTGAAGGAGGAAAGGTTTCCACACACTAGAAGCCCCTTCGCGGGCAGAGACTGCAGGAGGTGGAGAGGGGAAGCTTTGAAGCCACAGAGGAGAGCACAGCAACCGGGGTGCGGAGGGCAAAGCGGAGAGATTGCCGCACAGAGGATCCCTGCCGACCGGCACTCACAAGCCTGAGAGGCTTGTCTGCTCACCCGCCGGGGCGGGCGGGGCTGGGAGCTGAGGCTCCGGCTTTGGTTGGATCCCAAAGAAAGGACTGGGGTTGGCAGCGTAAACACAGCCTGAAGGGGCTAGTGCGCCACAGCTAGCCGGGAGGCAGTCCGGGAAAAGTCTGGACCTGCCGAAAAGACAAGACTTTTTCTTGCCTCTTTGATTCCTGGTGCGCGAGCAGAGGGGATTAAGAGCACTGCTTAAAGGAGCTCCAGAGACGGGCGCGAGCCGCGGCCAACAGCGCGGACCCCAGAGACGGGCATGAGACGCTAAGGCTGCTGCTGCCGCCACCAAGAAGCCTGTGTGCGAGCACAGGTCACTATTCACACCCCCCTTCCGGGAGCCTGTGCAGCCCGCCACTGCCAGAGTCCCGGGATCCAGGGAGAACGCACGGCGCACCTCAGGCTGATGCAACGTCATGCCGGCCTCTGCCGCCGCAGGCCCGCCCCGCACTATGTACCCCTCCCTCCCCACCAGCCTGAGTGACCCAGAGCCCCCGAATCAGCTGCTCCTTTAACCCTGTCCTGTCTGAGCGAAGAACAGACACCCTCAGTGACCTACACGGTCCAAATCCAAAGCTGAGCCCCGGAAGCTGTGCAAACAAAGAAGAGAAAGGGAAATCCCTCCCAGCAGCCTCAGGAGCAGCGGATTAAATCTCCACAATCACCTTGATGTACCCTGCATCTGTGGAATACCTGAATAGACAACGAATCATCCCAAATTGAGGCAGTGGACTTTGGGAGCAACAATACATAGGTATTTTCCCCTGTTTCTCTTTTTGTGTGTATGTGTATGCTTCTGTGTGTGATTTTGCCTGTATAGCTTTGCTTTTACTATTTGTTCTAGGGTTCTAACCGTCCGTTTTTTTTTTCTTTTCTTTTTTTTTTGCTATAGGTTTTAGCGCTTGTTATCATTGGTGGATTTGTTTTATGATTTGCTTGCTCTTTTCTTTCTATCTTTCTTTTTATTACTTTCTATTTTTTTAATAATTATTTTTTATTCTAACAACTTTATTTTATCTTTTTCATTCTTTCTTTTTTTCTCCCTTTTATTCTGAGCCGTATGGAGGACAGGGTCTTGGTGCTCCACCCAGGTATCAGGGCTGTGCCCCTGAGGTGAGAGAGCCAAGTTCAGGACACTGGTCCACAAGAGACCTCACAGCTCCACATAATATCAAACGGCGAAAATCTCCCAGAGATCTCCATCTCAATGACAAGACCCAGCTTCACTCAATGACGAGCAAGCTACAGTGCTGGACACCCTATGCCAAACAACTAGCAAGACAGGAACACAACCCCACCCATTAGCAGAGAGGCTGCCTAAAATCATAATAAGGTCACAGACACCCCAAAACACACCACCAGACAAGGACCTGCCCACCAGAAACACAAGATCCAGCCTTATCACCCAGAACACAGGCACTAGTCCCCTCCACCAGGAAGCCTACACAACCCACTGAACCAATCTTGGCCACTGCGGACAGACACCAAAGACAACGGGAACTAGGAACCTGCAGCCTGTGAAAAGATCCCCAAAACAGTAAGTTAAGAAAAATGAGAAGACAGAGAAACACACAGCAGATAAAGGAGCAAGGTAAAAACCCACCAGACCTAATAAATGAAGAGGAAATAGGCAGTCTACCTAAAAAAGAATTTAGAATAATAATAGAAAATATGATCCAAAATCTTGGAAATAGAATGGAGAAAATACAAGAAACATTTAGCAGTGACCTAGAAGAACTAAAGAGCAAACAAACAGTGAAGAAAACACAATAAATGAAATTAAAAATTCTCTAGAAGGGATCAAAAGTAGAATAACTGAGGCAGAAGAATGGATAAGTGACCCAGCAGATAAAACAGGGAAATAACTACTGCAGAGCAGAATAAAGAAAAAAGAATTAAAAGAATTGAGGACAGTCCCAGAGACCTTGGGACAAAATTAAATGCACCAACATTTGAATAATAGAGGTCTCAGAAGAGGAAGAGAAAAAGAAAGGGACTGAGAAAATATTTGAAGAGACTATAGCTGAAAACTTCCCTAATATGGGAAAGGAAATAGTTAATCAAGTCCAGGAAGCACAGAGTCCCATACAGGATGAATCCAAGGATAAACACGCCAAGACACATATTAATCAAACTATCAAAAATTAAATACAAAGAAAAACTATTAAAAGCACAAAGGGAAAAACAACAAATAACATACAAGGGAATCCCCATAAGGTTAACAGCTGATCTTTCAGCAGAAACTCTACAAGCCAGAAGGGACTGGAAGGACATATTTAAAGTGATGAAGGGGAAAAACCTACAACCAAGTCTACTCTACCCAGCAAAGATCTCATTCAGATTTGATGGAGAAATTAAAACCTTTACAGACAAGCAAAAGCTAGGAGAATTCAGCACCACCAAACCAGCTTTACAACAAATGCTAAAGGAACTTCTCTAGGCAGGAAACACAAGACAAGGAAAAGACATACAATAACAAACCCAAAACAATTAAGAAAATGGTAAAATGAACATACATATCGATAATTACCTTAAATGTAAATGGATTAAATGCTCCAACGAAAAGACACAGACTGGCTGAATGGTTACAAAAACAAGACCCATATATATGCTGTCTACAAGAGACCCACTTCAGACCCAGGGACACATACAGACTGAAAGTGAGGGGATGGAAAAAGATATTCCATGCAAATGGAAACCGAAAGAAAGCTGGAGTAGCAATTCTCATATCAGACAAAATAGACTTTAAAACAAAGACTATAACAAGAGACAAAGAAGGACACTACATAATGATCAAGGGATCAATCCAAGAAGAAGATATAACAATTGTAAATATTTAGGCACCCAACATAGGAGCACCTCAATACGTAAGGCAAATACTAACAGCCATAAAAGGGGAAATTGACAGTAACACAATCATAGTAGGGGACTTTAACACCCTACTTTCACCAATGGACAGATCATCCAAAATAAAAATAAATAAGGAAACACAAGCTTTAAATGATACATTAAACAAGATGGACTTAATTGGTATTTATAGAACATTCCATCCAAAAATAACAGAATACACTTTCTTTTCAAGTGATCATGGACCATTCTCCAGGATAGATCATATCTTGGGTCACAAATCAAGCCTTGGTAAATTTAAGAAAATTGAAATTGTATCAAGTACCTTTTCTGACCACAACGCTATGAGACTAGATATGAATTACAGGAAAAGATCTGTAAAAAATACAAACACATGGAGGTTAACCAATACACTACTTAATAACCAAGAGATCACTGAAGAAATCAAAGAGGAAATCAAAACATACCTAGAAACAAATGACAATGAAAACACAATGACCCAAAACCTATGGGATGCAGCAAAAGCAGTTCTAAGATGGAATTTCATAGCAACACAAGCCTACCTTGAGAAATAAGAGACATCACAAATAAACAACCTTACACCTAAAACAATTAGAGAAAGAAGAACAAAAAAACCCCCAAAGTTAGCAGAAGGAGAGAAATCATAAAGATCAGATCAGAAATAAATGAAAAAGAAACAGAGGAAATGATGAAAAGATCAATAAAACTAAAAGCTGGTTCTTTTTGAAGATAAAATTGATAAGCCATTAGCCAGACTTATCAAGAAAAAAAGGGAGAATACTCAAATTAATAGAATTAGAAATGAAAAAAGAGAAGTAACAATGGACACTGCAGAAATACAAAGGATCATGAGAGATTACTACACCAACTATATGCCAATAAAATGGACAACCTAGAAGAAATGGACGAATTCTTAGAAATGCACAACCTTCCAAACCTGAACCAGGAAGAAATAGAAAATATGAACAGACCAATCACAAGCACTGAAATTAAAACTGTGATTAAAAATCTTCCAACAAATAAAAGATGGCTTCACAGGCGACTTCTATCAAACATTTAGAGAAGAGCTAACACCTATCCTTCTCAAACTCTTCCAAAATATAGCAGAGGGAGGAACACTCCCAAACTCATTCTACAAGGCCACTATCACCCTGATACCAAAACCAGAAAAAGATGTCAGAAAGAAAGAAAACTACAGGCCAGTATCACTGATGAACATAGAAGCAAAAATCCTCTACAAAGTACTAGCAAACAGAATCCAACAGCACATTTAGAGGATCATACAACATGGTGAAGTGGGGTTTATCCCAGGAATGCAAGGGTTCTTCAATATACACCAATCAATCAATGTGATACACTATATTAACAAACTGAAGGAGAAAAACTATATGATCATCTCAATAGATGCAGAGAAAGCTTTTGACAAAATTCAACACCTATTTATGATAAAAAACCTCCAGAAAGTAGGCATAGAGGGAACTTACCTCAACATAATAAAGGCCATATATGACAAATCCACAGCCAACATCATCATCAATGGTGAAGACTGAAACCATTTCCACTAAGATCAGGAACAACACAAGGATGTCCACTCTTGCCACTCTTATCCAACATAGTTTTGGAAGTCCTAGCCACGGCAATCAGAGAAGAAAAAGAAATAAAAAGAATACAAATTGGAAAAGAAGAAGTAAAGCTGTGACTGTTCGCAGATGACATGATACTATACATAGAAAATCCTTAAGATGCCACCAGAAAACTATTAGAACTAATCAGTGATTTTGGTAAGGTTGCAGGATACGATATTAATGCACAGAAATCTCTGGCATTCCTATACACTAACAACAAAAAATCAGAAAGAGAAATTAAAGAAAACAATCCCATTTACCATTGCAACAAAAAGAATAAAATACCTAGGAATAAACCTACCCAAGGAGGTGAAAGACCTGTACCCAGAAAACTATGAAACACTGATGAAAGAAATCAAAGATGACATAAACAGATGAAGAGTATACCATGTTCTTGGATTGGAAGAATCAATATTGTGAAAATGACTACTACCCAAAGCTATCTACAGATTCAATGCAATCCCGATCAAACTACCAATGGCATTTTTTACAGAACTAGAACAAAAAATTTCACAATTTGTATGGAAACACAAAAGACCCTGAATAGCCAAAGCAATCTTGAGAAAGAAAAACAGAGCTGGAGGAATCAGGCTTCCTGACTTCAGACTATAGTACAAAGCTACAGTAATCAAGACAGTATGGTACTGACATAAACACAGAAATATAGATCAATGGAACAGGATAGCAAGCCCAGAGATAAACCCACGCACATATGGTCACCTTACCTTTGATAAAGGAGGCAAGAATATACAATGGAGAAAAGACAACCCCTTCAATAAGTGGTGCTGGGAAAACTGGACAGCTACATGTAAAAGAATGAAATTAGAACACACCCTAACACCATATCCAAAAATAAGCTCAAAATGGATTAAAGACCTAAACATAGGCCAGAGCGTATAAAACTCTTAGAGGAAAACATAGGCAGAACACTCTATGACATAAATCACAGCAAGATCCTTTTTGACCCACCTCCTAGAGGAATGGAAATAAAAACAAAAATAAACAAATGGGACCTAATGAAACTTAAAAGCTTTGACACAATAAAGGAAACCCTAAAGAAGATGAAAAGACAACCCTCAGAATGGGAGAAAATATTTGCAAATGAAGCAACGGACAAAGGATTAATCTCCAAAATTTACAAGCAGCTCATGCAGTTCAATATAAAAAAAAACAACCCAATCCAAAAATGGGCAGAAGACCTAAATACACATTTCTCCAAAGAAGATATACAGATTGCCAACAAACCCATGAAAGAATGCTCAACATCAGTAATCATTAGAGAAATGCAAATCAAAACTACAATGAGATATCATTTCACACCGGTCAGAATGGCCATCATCAAAAAATCTACAAACAGTAAATGCTGGAGAGGGTGTGGAGAAAAGGGAACCCTCCTGCACTGTTGGTGGGAATGTAAGTTGATACAGCCACTATGGAAAACAGTATGGAGGTTCCTTAAAAAACTAAAAATAGAACTACCATATGACCCAGCAATCCCACTACTGAGCACAGACCCTGAGAAAACCATAATTCAAAAAGAGTCATGTACCACAATGTTCATTGCAGCTCTATTTACAATAGCTAGGACATGGAAGCAACCTAAGTGTCCATCGACAGATGAATGGATAAAGAAAAGTGGTACATATATACAATGGAATATTACTCAGCCATAAAAAGAAACAAAATTGAGTTATTTGTAGTGAGTTGGATGGACCTAGAGTCTGTCATACAGAGTGAAGTAAGTCAGAAAGAGAAAAACAAATTCCGTATGCTAACACATATATATGGAAGCTAAAAAACAAACAAAAAATGGACATGAAGAACCTAGGGACAAGATGGGAATAAAGACGCAGACCTACTGGAGAATGGACTTGAGGATATGGGAAGAGGGAAGGGTAAGATGGGACAAAGTGAGAGAGTGGCATGGACATATATACACTACCAAATGTAAAATAGATAGCTAGTGGGAAGCAGCCGCATAGCACAGGGAGATCAGCTTGGTGCTTTGTGACCACGTAGTGGGGTGGGATAGGGAGGGTGGGAGGCAGGGAGACGCAAGAAGGAAGAGGTATGGGGATATATGTATATGTATAACTGATTCACTTTGTTATAAAGCAGAAACTAACCCACCATCGTAAAGCAGTTATACTACAATAATGATGTTTAAAAATAAGTAAAAATAAATAAAAATAAAAAAGATTATGGAAAGACTAAACATAGTTCAGCCTCCATTGATGGGTTAATAATTTTTTCCAAAAATCACTGCAGTATATAAATATGAATTATAAATCCTAAATAAAAAATTAAATCATTGCTAGCAGTTTAAATCTATTCTTACTTGTCCAAAAAATAATAGTCCTTTTCACTAGCCCTTTATTTTTATTACATCCATACAGTAATTTGTACAGTCATTCAGAATATATTTGCTAAAAACCTAGTATGTTTCTGGTGCACAATGAGAATACACTATTATACAAACTGTATAATATCATGGAAAATCAGTCTTCACTACTGTGTTTTAAAGTGAAATTTGTTAGCCACATTTTTTTTTTTACTTGGAAAATAAAGCACGTTATAAAACACTAATAGTCATTATGTGATGGTTAATTTTATGTGTCAACTTGACTGGGCTGTTGAAGGGATGCCTAGATAGCTGGTAAACATTATTTCTAGGTGTGTCTGTGAGGGTGTTTCTGGGCGAGATTAGCATTTGAATTGGTAAACTTAGTGAAAAGAGTGTCCTCACCAATGCCAGTGGACATCATCCAATCCACAGTGGGTCCAAATGTAACAAAAAGGTGGAGGAAGAGTGAATTTACTTTCTGCTAGACCTGGATATCCATCTTCTCCTGCTCTCGGACACTGGCAGACTCCTCAGCCACCATCATCGCATGAGCCAATCTTTCATAATAAATCTCTTTCCGTATCTAACTATCTATCTATCTATCTATCTATCTATCTATCTATCTATCTATCTGCCTATTAGTTCTGTTTCTCTGGAGGACCCTAATACATCCTTTAGAATAGTTGAGTTAATCAAGACTGGATGAATGAGGTCAGAATCAGCAGGTTATTTATCACTGGAGTGGTGAGAAAATCAACCTCATATGCCAAACAAAGCTTATCATTTTGAATGAACAATATTCCATAATCCTAAAAGTTTTTCTTTCCTAAAGCAAACATGCAAAATCTAAAGATTACAAGTTTATTGTCCTTGGTACTACTCAAATGTGTGAATACTATGGAAAATATCTCTCCTTCTTTTTAGAAAAAATATTTTTGAGAGGCAAGATACAGAATAAGTACAGATTTCACCTAATTTTCATGGTAACTTCCATGTAAATATTTGCTATTATCTTTCTTTGTAAATGAAAGTAATGGATAAATCCATTGCTTTGCATGATCAAAAGGACTTGTGTGACCAGCTTCTTAAATATTATCATTAAAGTTTTATCACCAAATATTAGCTTGCCCTTTGTGGCCTCAGATATCAACTCCAATATTAATCAAAATTGGATGAAAAACATCTAGTTTTTA